CCCTCGTGGGGCCGGGTCCTCACAAGCCAGCCAAGGGGAAGCCCCCCAAAAAGAAAGCCCAGGACAAAATCCTCAGCAACGAGTACGAGGACAAGTATGACCCCAGCCGGCCCACGGCCTCGCAGCTGGAGGAGGAGTTGCAGGTGGGGAACGTCCCCCCGCAGAAGGCGAAGGAGTCCAAGAAGCACGAGAAGCTGGAGAAACCCGAGAAGGAGAAGAAGAAAAAGACCAAAAGCGAGAAGGCAGACAAGTTGCTCAAGAGTGAAAAGCAAGTGAAGAAGGACAAGGCGGAGAAGAAGAGCCGGCCGGAGAAGGAGAAGACCAAGAAGAAGAAGGCCGGCTCTGCCGAGCAGGACGGCTCCCTGAAACCCACCACCAAGGACTTCGCGCCGAGTCCCCAGAAGCTGGTGGCCGACCTGCTGGGCTCCTTCGAAGGCAAGCGAAGGCTCCTGGTAAGTAACCTTCTCCTTGGCATTGCTCTGGGGGCTGCGCAGGGCGTGTTCACGGTTGGTGTGTTGCTTTCCTGAAAGCGCACTGCCGGAGGGCAGTCCCTGGCTGACCCTGTGCGGTGGGAGATATAACGGATCGGGAGGTGTGTCGGGGAAGGGCTGTGAACCGTTCTCACACAGACTCAGAGTCATCGACCAGGGGGCCTTAGACATGAATCCAGGGAAGCCCCTGTGGCCGGCTTCCCCCAAACCCCCCAGTCCCCATCCCCCATCTCTACTCCTCTCTTCCAAGGGATAGTTCTGGATACAGCTCCATTTCACTAAGTTCAATGAATAACAACAGAATGAAGAAGTTCCTAAAATGGTATGCACTGACTCTGGTCACAACTTGGGAAAAGGGTTTTTCTCTTCATGATCTGAGAAACCAGAAGCATTCAAGAATTCGAAAACTCAAAGGGGAAAGTAAGGCAGCCTCCTTGGAGTAGGTGTGACTGGGAGTGGGGAGGGGCCCTTTTTGGTGTGACCCTCATGAATGCCTTTAAATCAGCTGTCTGAAACGTTCATCCCTTAAAGCCTGTCTCTTCCATCTCTGCCCAACCAGTACGAGGCCAAAAGGATGGAGTGTGAGGAGCTGGATTAATGGTTCTAATTTCCAATACCCTAAAGACACATCTGAACGGGGAGTCCAGATGTCAGTTGCTGAGACTATAAAATGAGCATGAACGTGTGTGAGAGAAAGGAGACAAGAAGTCCTTACTTTTACTTTGTCTCTTTTTCTGAGTGCCATTAGGATTGAGTGAGTCACAGTTATATCTCAGTAGCTATCTAGTTGACCAATACTTGCCACCATCCAAAGAATAACAACAGCATTTTGTTGAACCCCAGAAAAAGGGCGTCGGACAGGAATTAGCCCCATCCTAAAGGTAAGGGCATTTCTCATCAGCAAAGGGAACATGATTTCTTCTCCTCTCCAAGTTTCCTTACCCACTCTTCTAGTGCCCTTCCAGGATTTTACCCCTAGCTTCTTAATGCTGTCATTCTACTCCAGGCTGTCAAAGAGCACTATACAATTACTTTAGAGAAAAAGATCAGGAATTAATGTTTGGTGTTATGCATCAAGAATGATTCCCTCAGATACCTGGGTGTCAGGGCACCATCTCATGGCACAGAGAACATCATCTATCCTACTGAAGGCACAAAGTGACTCCACACCCTGCATTTTCCACACCAAACAACCTAGGCATCCTTCTCTCAAGGCATTGCTCAGAGGGCTTTTAAGGATTATTTTTTCCAATCTGGCCTAAATTGTGATTAATGATCTGAGCCAGAGAGACTCTGGCACCCACCTATCTTTAGTGGTTTCAAAAGTTTAAATGTGCATTTGAAGTGTAATTTAGAGCCGAGTCCCTTGTGGTATTTATCGTGGGCGGGGCATGCCCCTAAATCCTCTTAGCTGTCCCATCAATAGTGTATTTATGTGTTAGAACAAAACCCAAGTTTTTATTGATTCTACAGGCTGTGTGTGTGCGTGTGTGTGTTATTTTTTTGTATGTATGTTGTTACTCGTTTTAACGAGAGACTTAAAGTAACTATATAAACTAAGGGTAGCAGAGGATAGGTTGCCAGAATAGTTTAACAGCTACTTGGTTATTCCCAGAGTATATAAATTTAAATGGGAATGTTCCAGTAGAACCAAGAGAATCACTGATTTCAGAGTAGAACCCTATCTGGTACTTGAATGTTTGCTAGAGAACCCAGGGGGAAAAAACTACTCTCTTTGGGCTAGGAGAAAGCATTAGTGGTATGCTCTGTTGCCCTCGTCCTGAGTACCTGGGACTTTGTCCAGCCTGCTAAAGCACATCACCCAATCCTGCCATTTAGCCAACAGGGCAGGCAAAGTGTTCCTCATGGTCAGGTTTTAACCAGGCAAAAATAATCATGGGTAAACTGTCAGGATTGCAGTTGTGCACCTATGGGTAAATACTTCCATTACCGCTAGTTTATGAGTCAAAAGAAAGGGGTTTTTATACATATCCCTAGTATTAGTCATGCCTTTTATTTCCCTCCCTTTCTCTCCACTCCCTTAGTCAGAGATTTGAAAGCCCAGCTGGGTCTTTTCTGCTTTTAACGGTATCCCTGATCATAAATTTCTAGCAAATGAAACTCAGATGACAGCTTCTGCTGATGTCATCTGAGGCAAAACAGAAACCAGCTGGGATTGCTCATGGCAACGTTGCTGTTGGTGGCTGGTGAGAGCACTGGGTTTATTATTACACAGAAAGCCCCAACAAGAGGCATTTTAGTCTTGCAATCCCCGTGTGCTCAGCTGATGACTGTATCAGAACTGTGTTTTCTAAATAGCTAATGACATCTAAAATAAGAATGGATTAGAAAAGACAAGATGAAATAAACATGATGAAATATCGAAAGATGGAGAGAAAAGACTGTTTGACTAGACAGAGAGGAGACTTGTGTTTCTAGGTGAAAGACCTAGTTGGTGCCATTGATTGTTTTTCCACCCATTTTCCCCATCTAACATGGCTGATGTTATTCAGGAAGCTGGGGATTCGATTAATATTCATTAAGGCTTTGCATTTTGTTCAAGTACAGCTGACAACATATACCTCTAACTGGCCTCAGTCTACCAAGTGAGCTCAAACTTAAATGAGGTTTGAATTCTAAGAAACTGTGCTGGTCTTTAAACTTATCTTCCCAATGTTTCAGTAACCTGGTACTCTGTTACAATTTATCACAAACCTCCAATGCTTTGCATTTATTAATATCATTCTTTAGATGTGAAAACATCACATAACCTCTACTTAAGCGATTAGTCAGGGAAACACTGGCAGCAATGGTGTAGGTTGTGGCTGGGTGAACAGCATCCTAGAAGCCTTCAAAGGAGCTACAGGGGGACCCAGGTGTCCTCTTCTTGGGCATGAGGTCATTTCTTCAACCCCCCTGCCTCTCAGTCTGTCAAAGAAAAAGGGCACATCCTGCCAGAAGCTATTTGAGACTGGGTGGTTTAATTTTCACAACAACCCCTTGAAGAAAGACTTAACTCCATTTTACAGACAATGAAACAGAAGCTTAGAGAGGTTGAGACTCCCAAGGTGAACAGTTAATATACCACAAAGCCAGAATTAGAACTCAGGTATGTCTGATTTTAAAGCTCGTGCTCAAGCCACTCCCCCATTCCTATGGATTGAATATGGGCATATGCCATAAAGTGAAGGGGAAACTTCCCTGTTAATTAGTCAACACAGATATTTAAAAATTCATTTAACACTTTAAATTACTCAGATAAATGGTAAGACATACCAGTTGTCAACATTTGTGCAAAGCACCAATGTAGAGTTTCTGCCTGGAATACCCAGCTGATTCTCTGCACTTCAACTCGCTGGCTTCCTGGCAGTCAGTCAAGAACAATAGATTGAATCCCAGTTAACCTAATCCCTCAGACTGGCTGGTGTCAGTGTGGGGGTGACAATGGTGAGAATATAGATAAGCTGTTTATCACTTAAACATTGGACTATGTAGAGCAGGGGTCCTCAAACTTTTTAAACAGAGGGCCAGAAACAAAACGGGAACAAATACAATATTTGTATTTGCATGTGGCCCGCGGGCCGTAGTTTGAGGACCCCTGATGTATAGTTGACAAACCATCATTTTGTTCCAAGAATCTACCTACTTGTCAATTAACAAGAGGCCTCATGGTGCTGAATTGCAGAGATTCAAGTTCAAGTTTAAGCATTCTTTGAAGCCCTGGTAATTCAAGTGGGTTAATACTTTCAACCTTACTTCAGAAATCTGGATATTGGAATAGCAATATGCTTAGTTGATTTTATTTTAGAAAAAGATATAAAGCTCTGGTTTACTAAGGCAGACGACTACCTTAAGTGTTACATTCCAGAATTTTATAAAAGTCTAGTGTTTTTAGCCTAACACAATATGTAGAATAATCTGAGACTTAAAATGCTTTCCCCCTAGCATTTCCCATTCCTGTTTGCCCCTTTATTAATGTAAACTGGCTTCATTATACTCTGAGGCTCCTTGTGCCAACACACTGTTGGAACAGAAACATGAAAAAGAGCCATAACACAGTTCTAAATTTATGAGACATGCCCTGATTTATCGCCAACAAACTGGAAAGAGGCCAAGTACCAGACAATAATGTTTACTGAGAAGTCCTAGGATGCTCTCTTTAGGAGGAAGGGATTGGAAATGGTTACCATTTTAAGTACTGCTTGAAATGCTGCCAAACTAGAAAATTAATTGGATGGAGATGTCAAAACACAGAAAAAGAAACCTTAAAATATATTCAGATGATCGGCCTCTTCTACTTTCCCTGATGTGAAATTGAGGAACAAATTAAGCCAACTGGTTTGTGGGCTGCAGCTCGACACTCTTAGGCAGGGGACCACTGTGTTTCTGAGGGTCTCCCCTCTCCTGTCTGGAATGATCCATGTAACCTGGGGGACGTGGGCCAGAGTTTGCTTTCCTACCAACCATGGGCACAGCAGTGGTAGGGGCTGGGGCTTCAGTGCCATAAGCATAAAATACAATAGTAAATCAAGGTAATTCATAAATTCCAAGTGGACAGGGCAGACTCTAAGAACAGTAATTAAAAGGAAGAAGTGATCATCGAGAGATAGAAAAGACTTTAGGAAGGATGCTGCATTTGAAGAATGTCTCAGCATCAGATAAGTTGGAGGGGACCAGAGGGTTTTCTGGGTGGGAGGGGCAATATAGGCCAAGGCAGAGGAAAGAATGTGGGTGAACTATTCAGAGGCGACATACATGTATGGTACTTGGGCATACACAGCCTTACACACATATTTTTATTTATTTTTGCTCAGTCTTCTCACTATTTTGTGAGGTTGGCAGGGAAGTTGTTACATTGTAAAGATGAGAAAACTAAGTAATGTTCAAAAGGTTAAATGACCTTATGAAGGCTACATGGAAGCCACAGGTTGAATAAGGATTAAAATGCAGACCCTCCAACTTTGACTTATAATCACCATTTCTCTGTGTCACTCTGCCAAGATTTCTTTCATGTCGTAATTTAGAATGGTCTGGCTATGGGTGAAGCGGGCACATAAAGGAGAGTAGGAAGAAAGGTTAGCAAGAGAGAGCAGATCCTTGGGAGAAACTTCCAGATGGAGGAATGGAGGATGAGGTTCTGTATATGTTTTCTTACTTAGGTACAAGGGGGAGAAGACCAGAGGGCATTTTGAGGACTCTTGAAATTCTGTCATATCATGATCTTCCCTTGGAATTTAAAGCTTCATGACAAAGTGTGAGATGAGTAAAGTGGAGTCTGTGTATGGATTTGAAATTATAGAGGCAGGTAATTATCAGTCATTTAGCTTCTGGGCAACTGTGCCCTAGAGACTCCTCTAAACATATTCTAAACATGGGCTTATCCTTCATTTAGAGTAGGGAGTCCAAAATCATGACCAGTAAATCTTACCTTTGTTTTGACTATTTTGTGTTCTCACTTAAACAGTCATTTTATTTATCTCAAAATAGTGTATTTGTGAGCAAAGAATAACCAGCAAGAAAAACATAAAACATCCCAACTGAAAATAAAACTCCCAAGATTTGGGCTACCATAAACACCAAAGCAAATATTTTCAGATGTCATATAGCTAATTAAAAACTAACAAACAAACCCAAAATGCCATTACTGTCTCTTTTTATAGCCACCTTAAGTCTGTTTTAAGGCTAAGTATGAATCAATGAATAAATTTGATTATTTTTCCTTTTGGGAAATTACATTTTTTAAACAAGCATATGCTACTCATCACATCAAATTGAACATGCTTATAAACACAAAATAAAAAATAAATGAAATCATGTCTACTTAAAATAAATAACAATCTGGGAAAACGATATAAGTTTATCCCAGAAAACCTTTGTTAATGTTCCGCTCTAAAGTTATTGAACACATCTTGATTTCCATGCGGGATAGTATTTTGTCAAGCATAGACAATTCTTAGAAGGGAAGGCGTACAGGAAGCAATAAACATCTCACAGAGAAAAATAAACAACAGGATCAAGTTGGGACCAGATATTAACCGTTTTGAAAAAGAATTTGAAAGAGGTTGCAGTATGGTAACTTCTCCCCTGAGAAATGCCACATGACAGACTTCAGAATTATTTTATAAGGTTAGATGGGTAAGTAGAGAAGTGGCTGATATATTTGAATGTCATCAAATGGGAGAACATGTATAGAGGCTGACTTCTGAGCCCAGTGATGAGTTAGCAAAGGATGAATAGACAGTGTTCATAGCAGACATCAGCCGTCGATTGTTCCAGAATGCGTAAGGCCTGCCTATGAAACTCTCTCAACCCTGTGAGACATGAAATAATAGTAGTAACCACTCAATTCACAAATGCCAGAGCAGCCAATTAGGATAAGGGAGATTTGCCAAGCAGTTTTTACATGCCAAGTATTTATGCAGTGCCCACAACAGCCTTGCACAATAAGTTCTGCTGTGCAGAGTTCACAAGTGAGAAAACCAAGACACATGGACACTAATAAGGAACGTAAATAGTAGAAATAAGGAGAAAAATCTAAGCTTCCTGGAGCCATTTAAAAATAAAAGCCCTTTGCAAACAGTCTTTTGGCCCTAATTATGCTAACTGTCCAACAAAACCATGTACTCTAGTTTAGTTTAGCTTAGCTTAGCTTAACTTAGTTTAATTTAGTTTTGGTGTCAGTCACTACCAGCCCTGTATTCCAAGTCATCCCTTTGGATTTTGCCTCAGTGTAAAACTATCACTATGAATTAATATTTGCTTGCCTTCACCCACCTCCAGCTGATCACCGCTCCTAAGGTTGAGAACAACATGTATGTGCAACAGCGAGATGAATATCTGGAAAGTTTCTGCAAGATGGCCACCAGGAAAATCTCTGTGATCACCATCTTTGGCCCTGTCAACAACAGCACCATGAAAATCGACCACTTCCAGCTAGGTTCTCTTAACCATTTTAATTATATTATTGTTTTTCTCTTAGCTAAGGTGGGACAAATTGTACGGGAGAGGTCGGTGGGGAATCACAGGAAACTTCAGATGTTCAGAGGGCTCTTTCCTTGTGGCAACAAAGTTTAGTTGTGCCTCATGTTTATTTGCATAACCATTTCCGATGGTTCTGGTTTAAGTTTTTGGCACTTTAAAATGAAAAATATGCAAGTGCTCTATGGTTTGAAAGCCAGTAAGGTGGAGAAAAAAGAGAGAAGTATACAGCAGGGGGAGAACCAGAAAGGTATTCAGAAATTTTCTTCTGGATTCAGAGTCTTCTTGCCTGTGAATAACATCATCTGATCTTCCTGCAGCCTTCATGCTGCAGGCAACTCACTCACAGATAAGGGACCTGCCAGACCCTTGAACTACTTAAGTCTGGCAAGGCTGGGGAGGGAATTAACCAGGACTCAAAGAAGCTGTTAAGATAAATGAAAAGTCACTGAAATGTGGACTGAACTCTGCCCAAGTCCTTTGGAAAGCAGAAGAATTTGGCTGAATGTAGAGTTTTCGCAATTTTTCATATTAATGATGCATGTGGGACTCTTGAAGTGTCATTGGGCAGCTGAGATCTAACTCATTGCAGTTCCCCTGAACGTTGAAAGACTTACTGTAAGTATTAAGCCTCAGTCAGAAGCCCCAAGTCTGCCCCACCCATTTATTCTCTAATTATTACATCTCTAGGGCTT